TATATTAATTTAAAATCTAAATAACGGAAAACTGAGGAAAAAATAAAGAGTGTGAATAAATATATTAATATTTTTTATAGGAAAACTTAAAAAGGATAAAAGTGGAAAGATAAATAAAAAAATGAGTGTGAATAAGTATATTAGCCTCACCTTTTAATTTAATGTATTAACAAATATTAAATACATTTCATGAATATTTTTAATTTAGATAAAATTAAAAAGTATTCCGTATAAATTAAAACAAAATTTTAAATTATAAAGGAGGCATATATAATGAATTCATGCAAAATATAAAAATCAATCAAGTATAAAAACAATTAGAATTATAAAAAAAAATGTATAAATCATTTAAAAGAATTTAAACTTAAGTTTTCTAAATATTTAAAATTAGCTTATGTTATTATTTAAAAGTAAATTATGATGCATGACCCGTTTCCATTAATCTTTCCATGCATACTCTTACGTGGAATAAATATATGACTGTCAGTCTGTCACCTTATAAATTCTAAAGAAACTTTTTGTACAACTAACGGGTCATTACCACAGCACTTATATATTATGTCACGCATAAGAAACACTTGATGGTTCAATGCAAGTCCTAAAGTTTTGACAGGATATAGAAAGACACGGACATTTTTGGGGGAACTAGAGAATATTGTTACTCTTCTAATACTATAGTGTTAAATGTGGATTTCTCTTGTTTTCGTTTTTCATAAACATGAGAGCAGCAAATATTGATATCAATTGGAAACTCTGAAATGAGGATAAGATCATTTCAATTGGCATACATACTTACACAACAAACCTTTATGGGAAAGATTCAGCATCGATCAAATTGACAATATGAAAGTCCAAATATTTTGTTGACCATGCCATGCAACAATGACAATTGTTGAGTTTTTAATGAGTTAACAAAATTTGAACATGTATCACAAGAAAATATGAGTGAGATCATAGTTGTTTGAATCCATGTACTGTAGTAATTTATATGGAGTAGTAGTTAATAGATTTTATAGTGTTTATATGCATGAAAGCACTAACATTTAGTGTATTGCATTGCAGCTCGTCAGAAAGAGAAGGCTACAAGTTCAGTATCTGAGTTGGTTCAAGCCATTAAGCGTCCTCGAGCATTAAGTGAATCAGCGAGTCGTCCCTCTGTCAGAAAATCAGGATATACTCAGGAAGAAAAAATAGAAGAAGAAGATGAAGAGAAAGCAGGACAAACATTAAGAAGAAAATCTGAGAGTGGGACTTCATTTGGACGAAAATTAGAAGAAGGAAATAAAATTTCAATGCAACGAACTAGTGAGCCACCTGAAAATAAACACAAAAGTTCTCATCGTCGTTCTTTCATGGGGTACATATTGTTATTTTATTTTGTTATTAACATTTCTTTCTCTATGCATGAGATAATTTCACACAAGTCTTTTATACATTATTTTTCATTTCATGTATGATCCATCCAATGTTTTAAAGTACGGTATCAATTCTAGTTTCGTCATGATGTTCCTTGATATTTCGAAGAAGGACAAAATTCATATGCAGTTTCATATGTATTTTTTGTGTTGTTTTTCAATTAGAGTATAAGTTTCACTTTGCTAATCTTTGCAATAAAAGTTCTTCGCAAAGGTCGATATAGATTAACAAAGTGAAACTTCAATTATATTATAGGAACAACAATAAAATAACACTTTATTGGACTACATCTAAGTTTTGTCATGTGAAATTTTTTAGACAAATATGATTAATGTGGCTGCAATTGCGTCTCAAAATTTTCACCGAGACTCCAAAACCTTGACATTGTTGTTGTAGTTGTTGTTTTTGAAAAGTTTTTTATAACACAATTCGCAATGCTATCTATCTTTGTATGCTTCAGGTTCAGGAGGAAAAGTCAATCCAATGATGAAAGCATGAATAATGAAGTTATTGAGGATGTTAGCTCTGAGAGTGAGGATGATGAGAGGCCTGATAGTTTTGAGTTAGATGACAAAGAAAAGCAGAGAGAAAAGCGAAAAGGCCTTGATCTTGCTACCACACTTGAACGTATTGAGAAAAACTTTGTCATTACTGATCCAAGGCTTCCTGACAATCCAATAGTAAGATTTTTTTAACCACTTGTATTATTATACTGAATATATGTTTCCACTTTGTGTTGGATTCCTGTACTAGAGGTAAACATGTAACACGGTAAAGTTTGTACTTCACTTTTACTTTTTTAGATATTCGCATCAGATAGCTTCTTGGAGCTTACAGAATATAGTCGTGAAGAAATCTTGGGAAGGAATTGCAGGTATGTTTTAAATTAAATATCATTGTACAAATATACTTATGCTAATATCGATTTACCAATGATAAAGGTTTTTCTATAATTTCAAATTGTCTTGTATGTTATTTGGCTATTTAGGTTTCTACAAGGACCTGAAACTGATCGTGCAACTGTGAGAAAAATCCGAGAGGCGATTGATAGCCAAACAGAAGTTACTGTGCAACTAATTAATTATACAAAGAGTGGTAAGCTTGTTTCATTTTCTGTTAGGAAAGCCACTTTCATAGGATAATTTCTTATACGTTGGAATTTATAAGTATTCTACGAATATTTTGTATATGGTAGTAGTGTGAAATATATATTGAGTTTTAAATTGATAAAAAAAAAAGTTACAATATATTCAACATCACACATATAGTTTATTATTAAGAAAAAAAAAAATAATTGTTACCTGTAAGTTTTTCATGAATACCATAACTTGTACTATTACTAGTCGATAATAAAACAGTTCAAAATATTAATTTGCTATAAATTCCGGGTTTAGAATCTTGAATATCTTCCTTAGTTACAAGGGATATATAGCTATTTAACGTGAAGATCAATAATGTTGCGATTATTATTACGCTTGCTATTGAAGATTTCTCCATTCAACCCAGGAAAGAAGTTTTGGAACCTGTTTCATTTGCAACCCATGCGTGATCAGAAGGTACAACATATGATGGTCCTCTAAATATGTTGTCATACAAATTTTCTTTTGGGTAGTTGATGATTTTCTTTCCACCTATATTTTCAACATTAACATAATATGGATGTTAGCTTTAATCTCTTTCCATTGTTGGTTTAATAGGGGGAAGTGCAGTATTTTATTGGTGTTCAACTAGATGGTAGTCAACATGTAGAGCCTCTTCACAATTGCATCGCAGAAGATACTGCAAAGGAAGGAGAACAATTGGTTTGGTCCTTATTCAATTGCTTCATTAATTCATACATTATCTCAAATCATCATCAACATCAAAATTCTAGCTTAAAAATTTAATGATTTTTTTGTTTGAAAATAGGCTTTGAATTTGAAAGTTCACAGAAGCTATGAATTATGATTCACACTGATACATTTTACATCTATTATAAGCTCCTTTTTTCTCTATATAATAGTAGGAAAGTTTGTTCAATTTATTATTCATTATGCTTTGTACATCCTGAGTTATAACAAGTCCATTTGAAATCCAACCTCAGGTCAAACAAACAGCAGAAAATGTTGATGAAGCAGTGAGAGATCTTCCGGATGCAAATATGGTAACATCTATTGCTATTAGTTATTTTTGTCTACTAAAGAGCTTTTGACTTTAATTGTGACATGAACATTTCGACATTTTTTAGAAACCAGACGATTTATGGTTAAATCATTCAAAAGTAGTTTACCCCAAACCTCATAGGAAGGATGATCCTGCTTGGAGAGCTATCCAAAAGGTATTACTTCCATATTTGAGTATGTGTCATGTTTACCCAATTTCTTGTTATTTTTATTAAGTGCTTAGTGATTTTTGAAATCTCTTTTATATTGTACGACTATAAATTACAAATATGGGAAAATGTAGTAAATACTTCATATCTCATTTGACAGTTGTGTTAACTTGTCTATGTTTTTTTTTTGTCTTTCTATAGTTTCTTTATATTTTGGGATGTAGTAAGTGATCATATTTTTCTCTTAGATTATATATTATATTGAAGATTATTTTATTGAGTTGGTAGACATGCCATTGTACCATTATAGTTCCTCCTTTTTTCCACATGGTATTTTGGACTTTCCTAGTCACATCTTGCATGTTTGATACAATTTATGTTATTTTGCAAATTTTTATGTGACCATGGTTTTGCAGGTTTTGGAAAGTGGAGAACAAATAGGCTTAAAGCACTTTAGGCCAATTAAACCATTGGGCTCAGGAGATACTGGCAGGTTTTTTTTACCCCTGTTTCTCTATTGCATTCCCTTGTTTCACAACTGCAATTGCACGGGTAGCATGGGGATGGGGGTTAAGTGTTTGTCAAGTATGAAATGAATTGTGGTTGTACAAAATTATGATGATCTCTACATAACCACATATGATTGACATACTATTTTAAGGTTTCGCTAATTGTACTAATAATTCTAGCTTTTTTTTAATGGAATTTTTGCATATAAAAAAAACCCTATAAATGAATTAATCCCTGTTTTTAACTAAAAATTTGAGCTAATATTTTATATCCCGATTAGAATTTCTTCGTTGATTTGGGTGATAGACAATTTCCTTCTATACCATTATTTTCCAAAGCAAGCATATGTGGCGGTGATAGTTTCATATATTATTGGCTTGCAGTGTGCATCTGGTGGAGCTATGTGGAACTGGTCAATATTTTGCCATGAAGGCTATGGATAAGGGTGTTATGCTCAACCGCAACAAGGTTCTGGATGTGAATTATGTGATTAATTAACATGACTTTTTATCACGTCCTACCACTTATACATGTTTATGTAAAAGTCATTAAATATTGTACCGGCTTCATTTCTTTAGTCATGCATTTAACTGCTGTTACTTAAGTCCCTAACGATTTCTCAATTTCTCAACATGGAAATAGTATAGTATATAATATATAGACAGTCGTGTTTTTAATTACCTTGAAGTAACAAAATTATTATTCTAATTTTAATTGTGTAAATCAAGTTATGGAATCATTTATCACTCATTGTATTATGATGACCTTTACTTTCTCCAGGTGCATAGAGCTTGTGCAGAAAGAGAAATCCTTGACAAGTTGGACCACCCTTTTCTACCTGCATTATATGCTTCCTTTCAGGTTTGAAACTTGAATATTCCTTTTAAATAGGTAACACAATAATTATTATTTAGCAAATACGAATAACTGATAGGAACATTAGGATTTTTTTTTTGTTATTTCACTTTGTGCCTTTCTACACAAAAGCCAACGAACGATTATAGAGCTTTCAAATATGTCAGATCACAACCTTCTTTTTTTTTTAATCATAAAGCCCTGTTTTATGGATAATGTTTCATAACATGTACTCTATTTTACCCTTAATGTTTTTATTTCCTATTACATTTAATTTTCAAGTTACAAAGTAGCGAGGATATTCACATGGTTGCTTTACTATTTATTGAATTTGTCAAATATTTAGAAGTTGATTAATTTGCAGACCAAAACACACGTTTGTTTGATAACTGATTATTTTCCTGGGGGAGAACTATTTCTGCTTCTTGACCGTCAACCAACTAAGGTTCTCAAGGAAGACGCTGTGAGGTATATCATATTACTACGTATGAATATATATAGCACTAGTTTATTGTTTATTTTTTATTTTTTATTTTTTAAGAAAAGATTGAATAGAGTAGATATCATGATGGAAAAGTGCTTTGTTGAAGTTATTAAATTAGTAGGGCGAGTAAAAACATTCTTTGAATTTGATTTTTTTTCCCTCCTTTTTATTCTTCAAATTTGTTTTGTGATTCAAAACTTGAAAATGAAATTTACATGTTTAAACTCTTAAGGTCATCTACCTCAATAATAAAAAAAACAAGGATTTGTTTAGGTAAATTTTTCTACAAGCAAATATAAGATAAAAAAAAAGTAAAAAGTAAAATATTACTACCTCTAGTTGTTTTAATAAAATTTTGTTTGAAATTATTCATAATAATAATAATAATAATAATTTTTTAAATATAAACTATTGATAACTTATATTCCCAAGAAAAGGATAATTTACTTGTGTTTCTCTATTTTTCTTTAACTGACATTTAGTTCCTTAATATTTATAGATTTTATGCAGCTGAGGTAGTGATTGCATTGGAGTACCTTCATTGCCAAGGTTGGTTCTTATTCGGCTTATATGTGTGTTTATGACATCACGACAACTAATGTTGTTGCTTTCTCTTTTAACTCATGAAATTGTCTTGGGAGATACTTTTTGACAAAATATTTCAGAATCTACAGAGTAAACTTATCATGCTGTAATATTTTTTTATATTTTATTTTTGGGTAAAATATTTTTTAATCCTTATAAAACTATAAAAATTTATTTTTTAGTCCCTCTTAATTTTTTTCATCCTATTTTAATCTCTCAAATTTGCAAATGTATCATTTTCTATTCTCTATGTATTTTAGATAATGTTTTAAAAAAAGTTATAAAATGTTATTTAAACTACTTTGATGATTAAAAGTAGTATATTTCTAAATTAGAGAGACTAAAATAGGACAAAAAATATTTAGAGTGATTAAAACCAAATTTGAGAAATTTTAGAGTAACAAAAAACATATTTTACCCTCTCTTTTTTTCAAGTCATCATGTGTTATCTCCAAAGTTATAGCAATTTGCACCACAAATTTTCGTCCTAGCATGAAATATATTCTAATATATTTTTTGATGGCATGCCAAGACACTTGCTTACAACAAAGATTAATACGACATTGTTTGGTTACAGGGATAATATATCGAGATTTGAAGCCAGAAAATGTTTTAATCCAAAGCAATGGGCACGTGTCTCTAACAGATTTCGATTTGTCATGTTTAACATCTAGCAAACCACAGGTTCCCCCTAAAAACTGAGGACGTACTTGATTGTGCAGTTTTTAATTAGAAGCATTATTGATTTTTTTAAAAATTTAGACCACTAAAAATGTTTATTTGTGTCTTTTTGCCTCTTTGCAGCTTATAATTCCAACTATCAATTCAAAGAAGAAAAAGAAGAAACAACTGAAAAGTCAAGAGGTTCCAATGTTTATGGCTGAACCAATGAGAGCATCAAATTCTTTTGTTGGGACGGAAGAGTACATAGCTCCGGTTTGTTATTGTTGGACATATTATATATTATTAATCAACAAAAACTATAGTTCATCATATGCATGGTTCAAATATGTATTTTATTTTGCGGCGAATGTACCAATTATCATACATATATATGATGTCTTAATTAGCGTGTTTAATTCATTCTTGGCATTTTGATATGAAATGTTTTACTCTGCAAATATTTGATAAAATAGTAAAACTTTGTTTTATATATGAGTGACAAGTTTGCAACATGGATGTGTTCGTTATATTTTAAGTGTAATGCATATTAATCAAAAGAGAAGAAAACAAGCATAAATTAATTATCACATGCATAAAACAACGATTGGACAAACAGTGCAAGACTTCTCCATTCACTTTGAGCCTCCATTTAGTATATAAACCCTAAACTGCATAACTTCTTATACTTTTATTGGATTCAACTTGAACTTTTAAATTTCATAGTGATAATTAATTTCTCGAAAGGGGAAGGGTGGATGTTGGTGTCCATGCAGTATACAAAGTTTTTTTATTGCATTTGTGCAATTTGAACTTCTTTGAAAAATTTTATGCATTTCTTAGATTTTGTTGTAACTAATAGTTCAACTTATGCAGGAAATTGTAAGTGGTTCAGGTCATACTAGTGCTGTGGATTGGTGGGCTCTAGGTAAACTTTAATTCTTATTAGAAACAACGGCAATTGTGAATCAAAATAAAATTTAAAACATTAAAAATCAACATAAGTAAGTTTGAGTGCCTTTTACATTTAATTTGTGAAGTGAATATTAATTAATGTTTCCGTAGATAACCAAATCAGTTCATATGCATATTCTAATTCTCTATTTCTTTCAACTCATTTCCTTTCTTGCCTTTTTCTTAACCAAGGCTATTATCCATTTTGAGGACATGATGGGTAAAAATTGGAATAGTTGTCAATGGCAACTCAAATGCTCTCACTTGCTTGTTGCATTTATTTCATGTTAAAATACTGTGGTTAATTGAAATCATATAACGGTTGGACTCTTTCACAAACAAATGGTTACACTTGGGTGAATATTAGAAACAGATTAAAATTATATCGCAGTACTTAACTTCAATGCCTTTTTTTTAGGTATTCTAATATATGAAATGCTTTATGGGTACACACCATTTCGGGGGAAGACAAGACAAAAAACATTTGCAAATATTCTTCACAAGGATCTTAAGTTTCCCAAAAGTAAGCCGGTGAGTGGTGACCATCGTAATTTATTATACATTTGTTTCTTACATTGTTTCGCTACAATATAGTTTTTAATTGTAAATTCACCTTTTGAAATAAAATTTAAAAAAATTTAAAAAAACCCTCACATTATCCATTAATATCCAACACTTAGTAGGTTCCCAATGTCACTAAAATTTGCAATAAAGATGAAGCATATATATCTCTAAAATGAGTTAATCGTGACGAAAAAAATTAGTCTCTAATTAGATTTTGGTTAGAGACTAACATATTAGTCTCTAATTTAATGTTGTATACCATTAATTACCATGACTTTGGTCTCTAATTACATATCAAATTTTTATTAATTATAAAGACTAATTTTTAGGGTAAATTACTTTGTATCTAAAATAGCCTCTAAACTAGTCTTTATAGTGACTGATTACTTTTAATCTTTAAATTAATTTGTATTTGGATTTTTTCTAATGATATAATACTTCTAAAACATTTTTTAATACTTTATGTAATATTGTTATCGCCAAAATATCTTCAAATAAAAATAAATGACTGAAATTTAGTAAGTAACATTTGCTTTTAGGCTTGTGTATCATTTTTCATCTAATAAAATCATATGAGACAAATATCCATATAAATCGTATGTTTAAATACACCTAATTATAGATTAATCAAATCATAGGTTTGAAGGAAAGAAAAGTTAAATAAAAAATAATCGCATCAAGTTCTTACAAAAATCTCATTCAAATTACTCGAGGTTGTAGTTATATGAATCTTGCTAAATTGTAAAACTTCCAAAAGCTTGAATTGTGAACACAAATTAAATGATAATATTGTTTTAATCATCAATGAGATTTGATGCAGGTAAGTCTCCAAACAAAACAACTAATTTACTGGTTATTGCAAAGAGATCCCAAAGACAGATTGGGTTCACGTGAAGGAGCAAATGAAATTAAACGTCATCCTTTTTTTCGAGGTGTCAATTGGGCACTAGTTCGTTGCATGGTAACATAATAATTAAACTTTAGTAGTATTTTTCATTGTTACATTAATTTTATCAACATCTAATTTAACTTTGTTATGATTTGTCTAATTATCTTTCCAGCAACCTCCTGAGCTTGATGCCCCGCTCTTACTAACAACTGAAGAAGAAGAAGAAAAAAAAGTCAAAGATACAAATCCTGAACTAGAGGATCTACAAACAAATGTTTTTTGAAAAGGTAATTTCTTCTTCTTTTTTGTGTATATGTTGTGGTTGTTCTTCATTTTGGTGACTAGTTTTTAACATGTTGTTTTGTGGTTTGTAGAATTAGAGGATGAAGGCATATGGCATTCACGAAACACATGATGAATTCTTTGCGATTTTGAATAATTAATGGTATTTCAATCTCTTGCTCAGAGGTGCAAAGTTTGATTGTGTTCATTGTAATTTATATGAATGGAAGGATCTATAATAAGATTTTAGATTTAATGCTACTTATGCTAAGCCTTCGGGTTAGAGATTAGGGATTGGGACTATCAAGCAATTAGTCTAGTGTGAAAATATGTGTATATTTCTATAATAATATTTTGAGCTAAGTAAAATATGTCATGTAGTATTTAAAAATTAAATATGCGTTGTTAAACATATTTTTGAAAACTTCCACATTTGGAGTTGATACTTGCGAGACATTATTTCTTTCATCTTTGTCATTTTATATGGCTACTTTCATGAAAACTTGATTTGTAATTACACACCAAACATAAAAAAAAGGAAAAGAAAAATAAAGTTAAAAGCATACAATTAAAATCAAATTCGAAAAAGATGAAATAAGAGATAATATAAAGAAAACTAGGCTTCAATTTTGGAAAAAAAATAAAATTTATAGCTATGAAAATAAATCCAACAAATCATTAATAAAGGAATCTTTATTTTTGTATTGGAACATCATCAACATAATTGTTTTATATTATCCACGTTTTTCTAAGTATACAAATATTTATATCAGTTTCATATATATATATATATGGAGGGATTCGTTTACTATAAGAATAAGTTTACCTAGACTTATTTTGTTCAATAATTTATGTTCTACATCAAATATTAATAATACAAATACTATAAATTTAAAGTTCTTAATGTATAAATCAAGTCTGTTAATTTTAAAAAAATTAAAAATTATTTAATACTTCGTTTTATTAATTTAAATCAATGTCTAAAATGATTTTATGATTATCCATCAATTTAAATTTAATGAAATGAAGTATCAAATAATTTTTAAATTTTTTAAAAACTTGCAGATTTGATATATGCACTAAAGACTTTAATTTCAACGATTGAATTGATAAAATTTGATGTAGAATATGAATTATTGAACGGTGTAAGTTTAGATAAACTTACTCTTGAAATAAACAGATTCCCCTCTTTATATATATATATATATTAGAAACATACTCTTGCCACATATTCTTTTATTAGTTAAAATTTATTAAAAATCATAAATTTAAGCAAGTTTTAAGTTCTCATGTCACTCCTAATAAAAAAAATGTATTAATAAGTGTGTTTCTAACGATTTTGCTAAAATATATCATACTATTAGTATAGATTTACCATAATAATATTAATAATATAATTTTCATTATATAACTATAATATTTATACCAATGAAAACAAATTTAATGGCAAATCATTAGTAAATGAATATTTTATTTTTGTAATGATAGATCATCCACGCTAAATATTATGGTTACAGCTAAATAGTTTCTCGTAGGAGTTCATTTTCACATTACTTTTTTTTGTATTTAAATTTAAGGTAGTGTTTGAATCTTTGTAATTATCATGATTTAACTGAAAATTATTTTGTTCTTTTATGATATTGACACTTTTTTCTCTTGTTTTCTGCATTACTGCATACACACTGTCCTACCAGAAAAGGCCGTATATTGGGTATCAATATTTGAAAATTTTGTAGATATTTTATAGTTCATATATTTAGGTTTAGGAAACGACTTGTAACTCATAAGTGAAAATTATGATATAAAATAAATTATGTTGAATAAAAAATATTCACATGAACTCATGATCTCAAAAAGAAAATTAGTCACTAATTTATTATTTTCAGTAATAAATATTTCATAATAATATAATCATTATCTATAAAAAGGAAATAATGGTGTATTCTATTTAGTACTAGTGAAAAATAAGTATTTGATATCTCACCGTAAAAAAATGAAAAAATAAAAATTGTGCATAGTTAAATAAATTAGTTAGAAAAACAAAAATGTCTAAAAAAATGTGACATTAAAATAAGATATATTTTTTATTAATATTATAATTTTATTTAGTAATTATTAATATTATAAATCATATATAATAGATCTAATATGAAAGAGGAAAAAAGCTTAATGAATTGAGAATTACTTCTTAAAAGTTAGGAGTATTTAGACAGTCAGAATAATCCAATTAATAGATTGATCGATCATTTAAATTAAAAAATTATAATTATTTTTATTTTATGATAATATTTCTAATTTAATCTCTTGGTTATTTTTTTAAAATTTATATCAATATATTTTAGATTATAATATTTTTTCATTTAATAATCTAATCTAATGTTATAAGTATCTTAATTTATTTATTTCCGAAAAAAAATCTACATTTCGTGTATTTATAAATATTTTTTAAAATATAAAAAAGTATTAAAGAGGAAAAAGAGTTAAATGAAATCAAATAGCATAAGCAACTGAAGTGTAAAACTTTAGTTATAATATTTATTTTTTTACACCAAATATTTGTTATAACTAATATGGCAAAGTCAGATGAATTATATATTATTATAGATGTGCATTTAATATGCATTTTTTTTTGTTAAAGTTTAAATATAAATTAATAAACATAAAAATTTATTATTAAATAAAATAAATATTAGAATCAAAATATATTTTATTTATCTTTCATCAATACAAAATTAAAACTTACATAAGATAAATAATAATAAACATAAACCTTTTTTAAAATTATAAAACTTAAATATATTTTTAGTTCTTATAATATGAATGAATTTTGATTTTATAAGTATTAATTTTGATAATTATTTTTTATTTTTATAAAATAAATAAATTTTAATTTTAATTTCTACAAAAATATTTTTACTTTATTTTCATTTCCATAAAATTTAAAGCACTATCTTTTGTCGGATAATTTTATGGAGGATTTATAAAAGGTTAAAAATATCACACATTAACATGATATTACTTGTAAGTAACACTAGTCACTTGTTATTTTAATAAATAAATAATTAGTTACAAATGATTTCATAATAATTATGATTAAAATTAATAGTTCTAAATTTTAAAGATAAAAAAAAATATTTTTAAAGATATTAAAAATATATTTAATATAAAATACAATAATTAATTTATTTATTATAATTAGAAGGATTGATACATTTCGTATCTCTAATAATTATAAATAAATAGAATATTAGAAAGTTAACTTTTTTTTTTATCTTAGGAATATAATTGTCCATTACTTTTTTTTTATATTTCAAGGATATAATGATCTACTAATAAGTGAAGACAAAAAATGATTACATAGTTCAATATTTCCTTTATAATAGGTCAGTATTAGGGGTGAACATGAAATCGAGACTCGAACTGAACCTAAAAAATTCGATAAAAATTATTACTTTAAGGTGGATTCGAGCAAGTCTTATGAGTAAATCGGATTAAAATTTTGATTTTATACGAGTTATATTGGACGAGTTCGGTTTTGAATTTTTAAACCTACTAAAAACCGAACCTAGTTGGAAATGAGATAAGTTTAAATTTTTATTACTTTTGTATAACTAAACAATAATGACCCAAACTCAAAAGTTTTTATTTCAAGTATAATATAGTTATCAATTAGTAACTTATTTTTTTTTCCTTTTTCTCATAACCTATATGTTTTTTTTGTCTTCTCATTCCTCATTCAACTTCTCAACACACTAGTCCATTTTTAGAGTTTTCTTTTTGTTTCTTTTTTTGTCTTTCTTTTCCATCTTCCTGTCTCTATTTTGAATACAACTTGTGCTATTGTGGTTTCTTATGAGTTTTGTAATTTAACTTTAGATTTCTTTTGTATATAACAACTATGAATTTTGTTATATTTTATTTTAGCTTCTTTAGTTTGTGAATGTTTCATCTACAAATCTACTTGCACTATCTATTGTCACCTTCATTCTATTTTTGTACACTGTTTTAAAAATATTTTTTTACCATTTTAAGTTTCACCTTCGTTATTAAGATAATTTGATCTACAAAAAATCTCAAATCTAATTATACTCATCCACTCAAATTTAAATCTGTTTCAACTCGAACTGCCTCAAATCAAATGCTCAGTTAGTCAAATATGAATCACATTTTTTTAAAGTCAGTTTACAATAGATCGAACATTTTTCATCCGAACCCAACCAAACCCGCCCATTACCACCCTATAGATATAGTTAGATTAAAAATCCAAATAATTTAATTTATCCATAAGCATTTTGCAGTTGGAAGTAAATTCAGTGAACTGGGGAGTGAAACGACGTCGGATGCAAAAGGTTTATAGCGGTTAATCTGGATCTGACGCGTAGGATCGAACGGTGAGAAATTGGAATGGCGTGGGCCCATGAATAAGTGGCAACTCACAACGGTCTCTCTGGACTCACTTGCCTCGCTCGTTCCCTCACTCAGTCACACACTTTCATCTTCGCTTTCTTTCTCTCTCTAACTCCTAAACCAAACCAAACCGAGCCTTTTTTTTTTTTTTTTTTTGTTGGCACACTTTTCTTCTTTTCTCTCGCGGCCTCTCTCTGGTTGCGTTCATCATCCCTGTTTGGTGCGGTGGAGTTTTTGGTCTTTTCGCTCTTCCAATCACACGGTCCCTCTCCCTCCACGTCACCTTCGTCTTCTTCGTACCCTTCCCACCTTCCTTTCGGTCTCACTATATAACAATTTTTTCATTCCCTTAGGGTTTCCAAAATACATTCTCCAATATCGCACTGCGCAACCCAACCATGCCTTCTTCCACTCATCAATTTCTCCTTCCACGTATCTTCTCTCGCGATTCAGGTATTTTATTTCTCGCTCGAATCTCCTCGCTTCTGATTCATTCTTATGTTCTCAGATTTTTCTTTTCCTTCTGAATTCGCTTTTCTGGAATGCTTCTGTGCTTTAATTGTTGTTATTGATATGTTGTTATTGTTTTGAGGAAGTTGAGATTGGTTTTTTAATGTTGTTTTTGAATTTGTGGTGTGGCGATTGTTAGGGTTTTGATTGAGATTTGTTCGTTTGGGGTTCGAGTTTTTGAAATTGGGTCCCCGAGCGCGTTTTTCGGCGGCAGCTTGGTGGTATGTTTCATGGCAATTGAGAAGAACAGCTTCAAGGTGTCTAGGCTTGATTCCGAGTGTTCTCCTCGAAGTAGGAAAAGTATGTCTAGTGACGAAGAGGTGATTCGGCGGCGTAACTCTGCCGCGGAATCGGACGATGATGACGAGTTTGATGATGCTGATTCTGGGGCCGGGTCTGATGATTTTGATTTGCTTGAATTGGGGGAGACTGGGGCGGAGTTTTGTCAGATTGGGAACCAGACTTGCAGCATTCCGTTGGAACTTTATGATCTCTCAGGCCTTGAAGATGTGCTGTCGGTGGATGTGTGGAATGAATGCTTGAGTGAGGAGGAGAGGTTTGAACTCGCTAAGTATCTGCCTGACATGGACCAAGAGACTTTTGTTCAAACCTTGAAAGAGCTTTTCAGTGGTTGTAACATGCACTTTGGGAGTCCCGTTAAGAAGTTGTTTGATATGTTGAAGGGTGGCTTGTGTGAGCCGAGAGTTGCTCTTTACAGGGAGGGCTTGAGTTTTTTTCAAAAGCGACAGCACTATCATCTGTTGAGGAAGCATCAGAACAACATGGTTAGCAATCTTTGTCAGATAAGGGATGCTTGGCTTAACTGTAGGGGATACAGTATTGAAGAAAGGCTTCGTGTCCTGAACATTATGAGAAGTCAAAAGAGTTTGATGTACGAGGAAGATTTGGAAGTTGATTCTTCAGATGAAGAGTCTGGTGAAGGTGTATGGAGCAGGAAGAACAAGGACAAGAAAATTGTGCAGAGAATGGGTCGCTATCCGGTCCATGGGGTGGGTTCTGGTTTAGATATCCATCCACGAGGGCGGTTAATGGTTATGGACCAAGAGAAGAATGGGAAACAAAACCCTAAAGGCATACTCAAGTTGGCTGGTTCAAAGCCACCTTCAGTAAAAGATCCAACTGGTCGCTCATCTTCTGTCTACCATGCTTTGAATGTGAATGCTGGGCTAAATGGTTCAACTTCTGCCCATTCTCAACAGAATAAGTCAGTGGGATATGATTCAGGGTCAATCCTCAGGGTGAGGGATCAGCTGTGGAATGGTGACAATGATGAGGAAATGTCATATGGACTGCCTGTCCATCAAGATCGCAATTTATCACGTAGCAACCTGATGGACAAAACTAGTTATCTGAAAATGGGAAAGAGGCGTGACCTTCTGAGAGGTGATGAGATAGATACTGACAATTTGATGAGTCTGTCTCTGTCTTCAAAGACTGATCTACATGGATACCCTAGAAATTCAAACCAATCTTCTGATATGAAAAATTTCAGGGCAAAGCCATCTTCAAAGAAAGGTTCATACGAATTTTCTAGAAATGTTAAGTATCCAGAAAATGTTCAACAATTTGTTGGTAGTGATCAGGTAAAGTCTAGAATGAGGAGTTCACAGTTATCGCTTAAAGGCAATATGGCTGACTCAGCAGATTATGATGAACTTTTCTATAGTAATGAGACACTGGGGCAGGAATTTGGCATGGATTCTTCATTTAAATATGATGATTGGTATCGTAAGGGAAAAAAATGGAAGGTGGGGAGAGAGTCTCCTGATGTCAGTTACACTGCTTATAGATCTTCCTCGCCGCAGGTGAGTGATAGACTCCTATCCTCTGACTTCAGAGCAAAATCATTGCAGGAGAGGCTCAGAGGGACTACTAAGCAGAGTGGAGGAAAAGATGCAATGCCTTTCAGGGGTAACCAGATTATTTTAAGAAATGAGGAAACCGAATCAGATTCATCAGAACAGTTGGGTGATGATGAGGATAACAATCCTTTATTAAACAGCAAATATGCTTACTTGATGGGTACTGCTGCTGGTTCTCGCCCGAAATCATTTAAGTCTAACCTAGATCCCAAGAAGGCTAAATTTGTTACTGATTTGAAGCCACATGCAATAACACAATCCAAAAAGAAGGGTGGCTATGCAGAGCGGGCTCATATGCATGGTGTAGAAAATTCATTCTTAAAAGCAAAGCAGAAGGGTGAAATGCTCAATGGTGGTCCTTTTCATAAACAGGCTGGTAGATTTATTGAGGAGTATCCCTCAGGATCAGATATGCTTGATGATGGTGATGATGAATGGAGACATGTATACAAAACTGGCAAGAATGGCCGAATACGAGGGGAAACTAATGACAGATTAGACATGCCCTTATTAAGTGCATACACTGCTGAGAGAAAGAAGAAAGGGAGAACTGACCTTGATCATTCCATTCACAGGTCTAAATATTTGCATGATTATGTTGGCGATGAGGATGACTCATTTGAAAGACAGTTGGTTGTGGATAATAATGAAGTTGGACAGAGAAGTTATGGGAAGAAAGCACAAAAATATGCTGCAAATAGGGGTGATCAAAGTCAGAGATCTGAGGCACCATTGCTTGGTTGCACCTCGGCGACGAAGAAGCGAAAAATGAAGGATGATGCAGTAGATATTGGTGGAAGAGATGAATTTGGCAATCTTTTGTCAAACACACCAGCAAATGATTTGACTTATTTGAAAAGGAAGTCCAAGAAAAAAATAGAGGCCGATATGGTTAGTTCAGAAATGGATAATTCTGAATTGCGTCTTAATGATATGGGGACAGCTGATGTTGAACTGGAAACCAAGCCACAGAAAAAGACATTCACTTTGATCACGCCAACAGTTCATACTGGATTTTCCTTTTCTATTATACATCTTCTTTCAGCAGTCCGCATGGCAATGATTAGTCCACATGCTGAAGATAGTTTAGAAATGGGGAAACCCAGAGTAGAGCCGAAAGCACAGGAGGCCAGTGCGAATGGTGATATTTCTAACAATAAGATGGATGCTAATTGTGAGTCTGCTGACCATCTGAATATGCTGTCTCTTACTGTTCAAGAGATTGTTAACCGTGTGAGATCAAATCCTGGTGATCCTTGCATTCTTGAGACACAAGAGCCACTGCAAGATTTGGTCAGAGGTGTTCTGAAGATATTTTCTTCCAAAACAGCGCCCTTGGGAGCTAAGGGTTGGAAGGTACTAGCAGTTTATGAAAAAACTAACAGAAGTTGGTCATGGACTGGCCCAGTTATTCATAATTCACCTGACCATGATACCATTGAGGAGGTGACATCTCCTGAAGCATGGGGTCTTCCTCATAAGATGCTTGTGAAGTTGGTTGATTCCTTTGCCAATTGGTTGAAATGTGGTCAGGAAACTCTTCAACAAATAGGAAGTCTTCCTGCTCCACCTTTGGCATTGATGCAAGTCAACCTTGATGAGAAGGAAAGGTTTAGGGATCTGAGGGCTCAAAAGAGTCTTAACACCATAAGCGCTAGTTCAGAAGAAGTGAGGGCTTATTTTCGTAAGGAGGAAGTTCTCAGGTACTCAATTCCTGACAGAGCATTCTCATATACTGCAGCTGATGGTAAAAAATCTATTGTGGCCCCTTTGAGAAGATGTGGTGGTAAGCCAACATCAAAAGCCCGAGACCATTTTATGTTGAAACGTGATCGGCCACCTCATGTTACAATTCTTTGTCTTGTAAGAGATGCAGCAGCTAGATTACCTGGAAGTATTGGCACTAGAGCAGATGTTTGTACATTAATTCGAGATTCTCAATATATTGTTGAAGATGTTTCTGATGCCCAAATTAACCAAGTAGTCAGTGGAGCCCTGGATAGATTGCATTATGAACGTGATCCTTGTGTACAGTTTGACGGGGAAAGGAAACTGTGGGTTTACTTGCATAGAGAAAGAGAAGAAGAAGATTTTGAGGATGATGGCACTTCATCCACAAAGAAATGGAAGAGGCAGAAAAAGGATGCTGCAGATCAATCTGATCAGGGAGCTGTAACTGTTGCTGGTCTTGGGACTGGGGAGCAAAGCGGATATGATTTGTGCTCAGATCTCAATGTGGATCCACCACCATGCATGGAGGATGATAAGGGAGTGGAACTCTTGTCTACTGATACAAGGCTAAATGCAGATGCCCATGTTGATGTCAATGTTGCTTCTGAAGAAGGCAATGTTTGTGAAGGTAATTCAATGGCTTGGGAGGCTCTTGATTTAAATCCCAGCCGTGAGTTATGCCAAGAAAATTCGACAAACGAAGATTTTGATGATGAATCCTTTGGGAGAGAAAGGCCTGTTGGACTATTAAGTGCTGCAAGCTTGTCGTGAAGAATTCTACAGGTAGTTATTTACCTCATTTGTCACCTTTTTGATTGTATATTGCTCTTTGCCGTATGGGTACTTGTTATCTAAAACATCATAACTTCTTTGTTTGTGACACTGGCAGTAATTATTTTAAAGAAAAAGAGGCATTAGAGAAGTTTGATAGGGTTGTTTCGAGAGAAGTAAAATTTAAGGAAAATACAGTTTTTTTTTTTGGCTACTTGAAGGATATTCTATTAGTTCCTCCGATATTCATTCATTTCTTCTGCTGTCTTTTACTTGAATGGAACTTATGGCAATGGAGCATCTGTTAATGCTTGTGCAATCTATACATCTTTCTTTGCAGGGTTTTGGTCCATTGGCAATCGAGTTCGGTCATCCTAGTTGTAGCTGTGCTTGTATATAAATGCGAGCACAGTATCTTTGTATATTGATTTGATCGCAAAGAATAGAATAGAATGTGATCTTTATTGAAGATCGTAGAATTTGGTTAGGTTAGCTGGATGTTTTAACGGCTTTACACCCGATAAATAATACCTTTTGGGTCAAAATTTCTAATGATCTGAAGTTAGCTTCTTGCGTGATGGATTAAGGAGCGCAATTTGGCGTTCTTGTATTGCATTACAAAATTCTTATTTTATCTGTAGATATGACTCAATTAAGCATGATGTCAGAACATTCAATAAGTATGTTACCAAAATGAACACGTGAAAATTATTAATTACAACTCAGACGGAATCCAGAAGACGTTGTTGATCACTGCTTGATTCATATCTTTATGCTTGCTTGAATAATCCAGTCTTGAGAGCGTTATTTGACAAATGTCACCAGAGCTAGACATGTAATTTAACACTAGTGATTTGGAATGAGCCAGAGCTATCCATTTATTTATAAATTATTTTTGTTATTGTTCATTTTACCTTGGAGAGATGACGGGATAATTTGGTGCTTTGGGTAATTCATTCTGCTTTAGGTCACGCACAAAGTCAACCATATGTTTAAGAAAAGAAAAAATTTACAATAAATTAATTTACTTACTTTTAACTTCTTGTTGTTGACTTGATTTATATTCTGATTAATTCTAAGTTTTGTTTTTTTCCTCTCCGTTGTTGCCAACCAAATATTAATTTGAACTCGCCGGTAGTAACCAAGCTAATGTTAAGTTTAATGTATGCTTGAATTATCTTGTTCATTTAATTGTAACAGGTTGACCGGGAAAGGAATTTCATCCACTGAAACATGCAGATACAATTTAGGGATGTTATATAGTCGGCTTTAGCAGCCAATAAGGTGTACTATTTCTGCATTATAAGTGTGTTGTTCTAATTATTTTAGGTAGATTAAAAAATTATAAATAGATAAAAGAGAATAATAATTATATAAAATTAAGATTTTTTTTTTGAAACTAAAATACAATAACTACTTTTTAAAAAATATTATTAGAAATAGAAATAAAAAAAGGTATAATTAATATTATGTTAAAAACTTAATATAATACTTAGAGGGTGTTTAGGGGATATTACAATCTCCCATTTTACCTGATTTCTTTTATTTAGACACAAACAGTTTGCAAAATAAGTTGTGTTTAAGATAACAACTTAAAATTTGTAAACAATTTTTTTTCCTTGGAAAATAAATTGCTTTCACGAAGTTGAAATTTTAAACTTAAAATTATTTTCAATAATTTTTTCTTTTTAAGTTGATTTATTACATAAAAATTATTATTTTTTACTTTAACCAAACGAAATTCATCTTAAAATCATTTGTGTAAGCTTATAATAATTTTTTAATATCCTTATCAACTAGTAAAGATTTTGTCTGTGCTTAATCAAAACTCTTAAATTTGAATTCTAGATATTTAGTTGTGTTAAATATTTAGAGAAAAAACACATAACTTCTAAAAAATTATTTTTCCTTACATTTAATTGAAAGTAGTAAAGACAAGTGATATATTAGGAAGATAAATTAAGCCAAAATACGTGACTTAAAATTATTGCAAAAATTAACTTCTATATATAAAATACAAACAATTATCTTATTTGAGTGTTTTTTAGACTTTTCTTTGATCACAAGACTTTAAGTATTCTTTCAACTTCATATCAAATTCATTTTTTATTTATTAAAATTATTTATAAATTTTTTAATATTTTTAAAATAAATTATCAATAAATAAAAATAATCTTGTACAACAATACAAATATCTATTTATTCAAAATTTAAATATAAGTTATATTCAAACATAGTATTTATTTATATATAATTCATTTTAAATTTTAGTTATATATCATAAACCTTTAACCTATATATATTATACAAACTAAAATATTAGTTATCTAAAATGCTTAATAATTTAATTTATAGTTAAAGTATTTTAATTTTTTTATTACATTACATACCAATTAAGAATCATCTTAAATATAATTTATCAAATAATTATTAAAAAATTAATATTTTAATTATTCATGTTAATATATAATTGGATAACGTTATTAACATTTATTTTTTCTGAAATATATAATTTTATTTATAAAAAAAATTATTACATATACAGTTGAATACAACAATTATACAAAAATCATTATAACAACTTTTTTTAGGCTTAATTTTGTGTTTGATCTCTTAAGTTTATCAATCGTGTGATTTTAACCCTTCAAATATCGTAATTGTGTGATTTTGATCCCAAATTCTAATTGGACAATTTTAGTCTTTCAAGTATTTTACTTGTATAACTTTTGACCTATTTAAGTTACACTTGTTTTTGTATATTAAATATGAACATATATATTGTATGAAAATGTTTTTAGGTTTTTATTCGACAATAAGATTTTGAAAGATTTTTTTATAATTTTATTTTTAATATGATAATTATTTATAAATTAATTTTTTAATATTTTAAAAATAAATTATTAATAAATAAAAATAATATTATACTACAGTTTAATATATTTATCATAAATTTAAAATAGAATTTATACGTTTAAAAGTATCTATTTATACAAATTTTAAATATACTTTATATATTGAAATTAATATTTATTTTTATATATAACTTATTATAAATTTTAATAACATATAATATACATTTAATTTGTGAATTGTATAACCTAAAATACTATTATACTATATTTTTCATTCATTTATTAGATGATACATATTAATTATTAGTAAAATTAATAATATATGTAGTTTAAATAAGTAAAAAAAATTGTATTATTGCAATTAATACAATTTTTAAACGTAAAAAAATACATTATTGTTGCACTTTAAATATTAAAATTATTTAATTAAAATTCAAAGAAGCAAAATTATACAATTAAAATACTTTAAAAAATTAAAATTATTTAATTAATGTTTAAAAGATTAAAATCACACCACTGACCAAAAATATATTTAAACATTTTTTTCATAACTCAAGTGTATTGAACTATTTTTTTATGGTAGTTTAGTTTTTTAAAATTGAAGTTAAAATATAATTTAATTTAATTTTATAAAAGTTAGTTCAATTTTTAATAACTTAATTTAATTTTCAAAATAATTTATTTATAGTAAAAATAAGAAAAATTACAAAATAATTACAATGAAAATTAAACTTAGATTTTCATACTCCTAACTACTTCAACTCTTCTCTATCCAATTACTAAGTTAACCCTATCGGTGAAAACAGTTTTTTTAATAGTGGTAATATATCCATATTAGAAGTTGGATTTCAATTTCAATAGATGAAAGATGTTTTGAGGGGGAAAAGAATGAAGCGCGCAACAACGATGTGGGATGCAAACTGCAAAGAGGAAGAAGGTTACAATGGTTAATCTCCCATCTGACGTTGGAATTGCGTGGGCCCATGATAGACTGCCAACTCACAACCGTCTCTCTACTCAGTACTCACTTCCCCTCCTTCCTTCCTTCCTTCCTTTCTCTCCCTCACTTTCACACTTTCACACTTTCACACTTTCATCTTCTCCTTCTTTTCCTTTCTAATCCAAACCCAAACTTCACTTTTCTTCCCTTCTTTCTGCGTTGCAACTTCCACTCATCCCTGTTTGGCTTTTGCTCTTTTTCTCTCCCATCACCACTCACCACTCTCCTCCCTCTTCCTCTTCTCTCTACCCATCGCATCTTCCTTTTGCTCTCACTGTATAACCATTTTTCATTCCCTTAGGGTTTCCAAAACACATTCTCCAATATCGCACTGCGCTACCCAACCCTGCCTTCTTCCACTTCCTCCTTTTCGCATCAAGGTCTCTTCTCTCTCGATTGCGGTATTCTATTCTACGCTCGAATCACCTCGCTTCCTATTCTTTATTATGCCCTGCAACATCTTTTCTTCTAAATTCGCTTTTCTGGAATGTGTCTGTGGTTTAATTAGTATTGATGTTTTTATTGTTTTGAGGGAGATGAGATTATTTATTTTTTTTATTTTTTTATTATTGTTGTTGTTTTTGAATATGTGCTGTTGCGTTTGTTAGGGTTTTGATTGAGGTTTCTTCTTCGGGGGTTCGAAATTGGGCCCTGAACGCGTTTTTAGCGGCTGTTTGGTGTTATCTATCATGGCAATTGAGAAGAACAGCTGCAAGGTGTCAAGGCTTGATTCCGAGTGTTCTCCTCGAAGTAGGAAAAGTATGTCTAGTGACGAAGAGGTGATTCGGCGGCACAACTCTGCTGTGGAATCGGAGGACGACGACGGGTTTGTTGATGCTGATTCTGGGGCAGGGTCTGATGATTTTGATTTGCTTGAATTGGGTGGGACTGGGGCAGAATTTTGTCAGATTGGGAACCAGACTTGCAGCATTCCGTTGGAACTGTACGATCTTGCTGGCCTTGAAGATGTACTGTGGGTGGATGTGTGGAATGAATGCTTGAGTGAGGAGGAGAGGTTTGAACTCGCTAAGTATCTACCTGACATGGACCAAGAGACTTTTGTTCAAACTTTGAAAGAGCTCTTTAGTGGTTGCAACATGCATTTTGGGAGTCCCATTAAGAAGTTGTTTGAGATGTTGAAGGGTGGCTTGTGTGAGCCGAGAGTTGCTCTTTACAGGGAGGGCTTGAGTTTTTTCCAGAGGCGGCAGCACTATCATATGTTGAGAAAGCATCAGAACAACATGGTTAGCAATCTTTGTCAGATAAGGGATGCTTGGCTTAACTGTAGGGGATACAGTATTGAAGAAAGGCTCCGTGTCCTGAATATTATGAGAAGTCAAAAGAGTTTGATGTACGAGGAAGATTTGGTAGTTGATTCTTCAGGTGAAGGTTCCAGTGAAGGTATATGGACCAGGAAGAACAAGGATAAGAAAATTGTGCAGAAAATGGGTCGCTATCCCATCCATGGGGTGGATTCTGGTTTAGATATCCATCCAGGAGGACTGTCAGTGCTTATGGAACAAGATAAGTATGGGAAGAAAAACTCAAAAGGCATACTCAAGTTAGCTGGTTCAAACTCAGCTTCTGTGTATCATGCTTTGAATGTGAATACTGGTCTAAATGGTTCAACTTCTGCTCTTTCTCAACAGGGGAAATCAATGGGTTATGATTCAGGGTTAAAGTTCAGGAAGAGGGATCAGCTGTGGAATGGTAATGACAACGAGGAAATGTCATATGGACTGACTGTCCATCAAGATCGCAATTTATTACATAGCAACCGGATGGACAAATCTAGTTTTCTGAAAATGGCAAAGAGGCGTGACCTTCTGAGAGGTGATGAGGTAGATACCGACAATTTGATGGGTCAGTCTCTGTCTTCAAGGACTGATCTACATGGATACACTAGAAATTCCAACCAATCTTCTGATATGAAAAATTTCAGGGAAAAACCTTCTTCCAAGAAGGGTTTATATGAATTTTCTAAAAATGTTCAACAATTTGTTGGTAGTGATAAGATAAAGTCTAGATTGAGGAGTTCACAATTACCACTTAAAGGCAATATGGTTGACTTGGCAGATTATGATGAACTTTTCTGTAGCAATGAAACACAAGGACTGGAATTTGGTATGGATTCTTCATTTAAACATGATGATATGTATCGAAAGGGAAAGAAATGGAAGGTTGGGAGAGAGTCTCCTGATCTCAGTTGCACTGCTTATAGATCTTCCTCGCCACAAGTGAGTGATAGACTTCTACCCTCCGGCTTCAGGGCAAAATCATTGCAGGAGAGGATCAGAGGGGCTTCTAAGCAGAATGGAGGAAAATATGCAATGCCTTTGAGGGGTAACCAGATGCTGTTAAGAAATGAAGAAACTGAATCCGACTCGTCAGAACAGTTGGGTGATGATGGGGATAAAAATCCTTTATTTCAAAGCAAATTTGCTTACATGATGGATACTGCTGCTGGTTCTCGCACAAAATCATTAAAGTCTCGCCTAGATCCTAAGAAGGCCAAATTTGTTACAGGTTTGCAGCCACATGTAACACAATCCAAAAAGAAGGGTGGCTTTGCAAAGCGGGGGCATATGCATGGTGTAGAAAATTACCTTTCAAAAGCAAAGAAGGGTGATCTACATAATGGTGGTCCTTTTCATAAACAGGATGGTAGATTTATTGATGACTATCCCTCAGGATCAGATACGCATGTTGACGGTGATGATGATTGGAGACAGGTGTACAAGACAGGCAAGAATGGCAGAATACATGGGAAACCTATGCCCTTATTAAATGCATACACTGCTGAGAAAAAGAAGAAAGAGAGAACTGAGCTCGATCATACTATTCTGAGGTCTAAATATTTGCATGATTATGTTGGGGATGAGGATGGCACACTAGAAGTTGTGGATAATAATGAAGTTGGACAAAGTAGGCATGGGAAGAAAGGACAGAAATATGTTTCAAATAAGGGTGATCGAATTGAGAGACCTGAGGCACCATTGCTTGGTTGCAACTTGGCAACAAAGAAGCGAAAAATGAAGGATGATTCAGTAGATGTTGGTAAAAGAGATGAAAATGGCAATCATTTGTCAAACACCCTGACAGATGATTTGAATTATTTGAAAAGAAAGTCAAAGAAAAAAATAGTGGCTAAGATGGTTAGTTCAGAAATGGATACTTCTGAATTGTGTCGTACTGATATGGGGACATCAAATATATCACTGGAAACCAAGGCACGAAAAAAGGCATTCACTTTGATCACGCCAACAGTTCATACTGGATTTTCATTTTCTATTATACATCTTCTTTCAGCAGTCCGCTTGGCAATGATTAGTCCACATGCAGAAGACAGTTTAGAAATGGGGAAACCTAGAGAAGAGCTGAACAAAGCACAGGAAGGCAGTGCAATGGGTGATCTTTCTAACAATAAAATGGATACCAATTATGAGTCTGCTGACCATCTGAACATGCCATCTCTTTCTGTTCATGAGCTTGTTAATCGTGTGAGATCAAACCCTGGTGATCCTTGCATTCTTGAGATGCAAGAGCCACTGCAGGATTTGGTCAGAGGTGCTCTGAAGATATTTTCTTCCAAAACAGCACCATTAGGAGCTAAGGGTTGGAAGGTACTAGCAGTTTTTGAAAAATCTACCAGAAGTTGGTCATGGACAGGCCCAGTTATTCATAATTCACCTGACCCTGATACTATTGAGGAGGTGACAACGCCTGAGGCGTGGGGTCTTCCTCATAGGATGCTTGTGAAGTTGGTTGATTCCTTTGCCAATTGGTTGAAATGTGGTCAGGAGACTCTTCAACAAATAGGAAGTCTTCCTGCTCCTCCTTTGGCATTGATGCAAGTCAACCTTGATGAGAAGGAAAGATTTAGGGATCTGAGGGCTCAAAAAAGTCTTAATACCATAAGCCATAGTTCAGATGAAGTGAAGGCTTATTTTCGTAAAGAGGAAGTTCTCAGGTACTCAATTCCTGACAGAGCATTCTCATATACTGCAGCTGACGGTAAAAAATCTATTGTGGCCCCTTTGAGAAGATGTGGTGGTAAGCCAACATCAAAAGCCCGAGACCATTTTATGTTGAAACATGATCGGCCACCTCACGTTACAATTCTTTGTCTTGTAAGAGATGCAGCAGCTAGATTACCTGGAAGTATTGGCACTAGAGCAGATGTTTGTACATTAATTCGAGATTCTCAATATATTGTTGAAGATGTTTCTGATGCCCAAATTAACCAAGTAGTCAGTGGAGCCCTGGATAGATTGCATTATGAACGCGATCCTTGTGTACAGTTTGACGGGGAAAGGAAACTGTGGGTTTACTTGCATAGAGAAAGAGAAGAAGAAGATTTTGAGGATGATGGAACTTCATCCACAAAGAAATGGAAGAGGCAGAAAAAGGATGCTGCAGATCAATCTGATCAAGGAACAGTAACTGTTGCTGGTCATGGCACTGGGGAGCAAAGTGGGTATGATTTGTGCTCAGATCTCAATGTGGATCCACCACCATGCATTGTCGATGATAAGGAAATGGAACTTTTGTCTACTGATATAAGGCTAAATGCAGATGCCCATGTTGATGTCAATGTTGCTTCTGAAGAAGGCAATGTTTGTGACGGTAATTCAATGGCTTGGGAGGCTCTTGATTTAAATCCCACTCGAAGTCGAGAGTTATGCCATGAAAATTCAACAAACGAGGATTTTGATGATGAATCCTTTGGGAGAGAAAGGGATGTTGGACTATTAAGTACAAACTTGTGAAGAATTCTACAGGTAGTTTATTTACCTCATATGTCATCTTTTTTATTGTATTTTCCCTTTTTTCCGTTTGGCTACTTTATATCTAAAATATGATAAATCAAAATTGTTGTTCGGAAGCAAGTGTTTCATTAATGTTATGAGTTGTTTTGAAAAACAAATATAAATTTAAAGCAAATTTTACGTTATCAATTAAATTAACAAATTTTCTTAATTTTGATGAATTTTGTTATAAAAAGGACGGAAGAGAGTATTAAAAAAAAAAAAAAAGACACTAGAGAATTTTGTGAGGGTGATTTCAATTGAAATAAAATTTAAATGAAACAGTTTTATTTTTTTTTGCTAACCGATGATATTGTATTTGTTCCTACCATATTCATTCATTTCTTCGGCTATCTTTTTCTTGAAAGGAAATTATATTAATGGAGCATCTCTTAATACTTGATCTGTTCATTTTTCTGTGTAGGCATTTGCTCCATCGACACTCAAGTTCAGTCATGTGGGTTGTAGCTGTGCTTGTATATAAATGCGGGCAAAGTATCTTTGTATATTGATTTGATCTCAGAATATAGTAGAAAGTGATGTTGAAGATCGTAGATTTTGTTAGGATAGCTGGATGTTTTAACGGCTTTACATCCCACAAATAATACATTTTGGGTCGAAATTTCTAATGGAGCGCCTTTAGCCGTTCTTGTACATCTCAAAACTCTTATTTTATCTCAATTAAGACATTATGTCATTACATCCAATTTGTTCAACCAAATGAATAGGATAAAATATTAATTACAACTCAGAAGATGATAGTGGTCATTCCTTGATTTTCTTTATGCATCGTTGAGTGAACTAGTCTTGAGAACGATGTTTGATAAATGGAGCCCGAGAGCATATGGTTAAATTTGGGGGCGTCCTGAAGAGGAATCAATTACCATAGCACTAAGAGCATCTATAATGGGAGTTGCTTATAAGGATTTAGGGTTTAGGGTTTAAGGTTTAGGATTTATAGTAGATGTTCTAAGTTATCCCGTCATCTCTCCTTGGTAAATTGAAGGATATCGAAATTTTATACTATGGTAAATTGATCGCTCATTGCAAATTACTTGTCTTGGACCACATGTTCATAGTTCTAGCTAAAATGTACGTGACACAGTGTTTGAAAAAATTAATTTACAGAAGAAAAAAAAATTAACCACAATTAATTATAAGTCATTTCATATGATGATCAGCTGTGAACGTGAGGATTCTTGACAAAAAGCTACATAGTCACCTATCTCACCCTTACCAATCAGATATAGTTAAATTAGGCTTAGTGTATTTTGAGAACGAGTTTGAATTATACTCTAAATTATACTTTAATTTGTTCCAATCGGTGTAATGTTATATATATATTTTTTAAAAGTTATTACAATAATGTATTGATAACATAACTTTTTAACTTAATAATGTTTTTCACTGACTTGATATAATAGTTATATCGGTTTCTTTTATCTTACTTAAACTATACGTATTATAAAAATATTTTTATTCTAAGTATATAGTTATTTAATTTTACAATTAAATTATATATAATATTAAAATTAATATAGTCTATCAATAAGTCAAGTTGACCAAGCATGTCTCAAATATTGTTGGGACTTGATCAATTTGAGTTTGGATTCAAAGATTTAATTCTATCAAAATTTAAAGTCAAATAGAGATGCATGTATACTCAATTTTGAAAACCTAATCAAACAAGCCAATTCACGAAAATTGATCTTGTGAGCCGTCCATTTACTAAAAAAATATGGAACATTTTAGAACTGGTGTGAATTATTCAATAATTGATCGAGCCGATTCAAAATTAGTTAAAAACCAGTTGAATCAGTACTATTTCAAATAAGAAGTTCTCTTAATTTTTAAAAATAATGTAAAAATATTTTCAAAATAAATAGAAAATACATGTTTAATATTTAATTTTATTATTTTTTTAAAATCATATTTAAAAATTTGTGTATATAGTTGTTTGTTGCTACAGGAATACCCCCACTATGAAGCTGCAGCTTTATGTCAGCCATAACCTGGGTCCCAAATCCCAATTATCAGTACGAACCCGACTTTGTTCAGTTGTTCCCTTTACCTAACTACTACCCAGAGAAATCTTTCTTCACATGTTACCAGCCTGTACAAAACCATTCCCTAGCTTCGGCTTTTGTCTCTTGTTCCTGACAAAGCATTATGAAACACCCGTTTTTGGCCAAGCACCAAAGCAAATTCCTTTATCTGATTACGCACAACATAAGCAGCTGAAATGTTCCGCTCATTCTCATCTTTCTTGCTTTCGCTTGTTCCTTTCCTTTAAAACTTATGCCTGCTCCATGTGCGAAAAAGTATCTATCCTATACTAGTACTACATTACAAATTCATCGACAATTTTTTTCTAGGCTGTAGCATCGTCAAGATGTAAGTTTAGTTTTCAACACAAACACCCCCAAAATCATATTACTTAGTACGTACCAATCTCAGATGACATCAATCATATAGGTTACTGTAAAAGAAGGTAACCTTTTACATATTCCGGCCTCCATAAATATAAGCCTTTTTTTCCTTTTTCCTCTATTTTCCAAAAAAATAAAATAAATGAACATATCATTTAACGGACTTACATCTGAACAATATGCTATTTACAGAGTTTCGAATGTCCCTAGTTGATAGCTGTAAGAGGAACTCTGGAATCTCTCACTGATTGAGCGGCTTCATATGCTCCGATATGTTTAACATCTCCATTTGCTAGTTTTGGAGATTTTGAATCCCAGAAGGACCTCAACAATTCCTCAAATGATGGGGTTCTTAGTTCTTCTATGGATGAAACACTTGGTAAATTGAAGAGCCTCTTTTTTGGTGTCGAACAAGAAGGTTCGTCGACCTGAATGTCATGGTAATTTGAAAAACATTATAAAAAAAAAATCTGGTAGACAGTGAACATTATCGAGGCTGAACATACTTATATATTTTGTGCAGAATATATAGTAATGGCCCAAGTCCTGAAGTTTCTTTCTTACCGTGTATTCATTGAGAAGACATTTCCCTGCATTTTCAGTTATCTCAACAATTCTGTGGTAATGGCCACCCTTCAGTTCTCTCAGATCACCACAGCATGGAATAATCATAGAGTTCAGATTTCCACAAGCTTCATGATCAAGTTGCAACGAATCTGCAAGTGTTTTTAACTTGTCAGCTGACATTCATTACCTAGACAATGCATAGATATAAAATAAATTACTGACGATCAATGGATGAGTTAATATCCTTGTTTGCTATTCCTGCATCTTCGAGAGTAGTTGACACAGCACTTGAGAATCGGGCACGGAGAGCTTGATTAGTTTCCATTCCTCCCCTGGCCATATAGCAATGTTAAAAAAGTTAACAAAATGTATTTGCCTTTCGACTGTTTTGATCTTATTAGGGAATATAAAACCTACCTGACAATAGTATCCACAGAAGCAGCATTTCTCTTCTCTAAACTCAGCAAAGACTCTTGAGCTTTTCTCCATTGCTGTGAACCTACTTTTGCCTTGTTGAGGCTGAAGTTGTTCGTTCAGTACAGAAATTGGCAAATAGAAGAGAATATACTGGAGTGTGGAGACAAAAATATATACATACCAGATTTGAAGAACCTCCACGAGGTCTTTCTTCCCAGATTCTACAGCGGAAGTATCCTCGTGATAGTTGGATTCTGTTTTTTCCATGTGAACTCTCCATTCTGCCTTGACAGAAGACGTGGAATCCTGCATGGTTAATGCTTCTTGCCGCAGTTTGCTGGTTCTACAGTTTGCACTTTCTCGAAGATCATTGACTGCCATTTGAACCTGATAAGTATCAAAAGGAATGTTATACTCAAGTACTCATCGACAACATTATAGGTAAGCTTAGCAATTAGCATGCTTTAAACGCGAAGGTTACCAATTGTTTCTTTCTAGCATTTGAACTTGCTAGCATTTCTGCCACTTTCTCCAGTAGTTGCTTTTCTTCATATGCAGTACACTCCTACGCCCGTAAAGAATGAGAAGGTTAAAAACAAAACTGAGTGTACAAAATTTCTGATTATGATTTATTCATTTATGTAATTCTCAGAAAAGGCACTGCAATCACCTCAAACTTCTTCTCAAGTTCACACAATTTCTGATCATTGACCAATTGTGCTTCTTCCACAATTTGGGTCAGACTCGATGCATGCCTGTCTATTGTCTCGAAAAAGTTCACCGTTATTTTAGATACTGCACGTGTAGTCTCCACTGCTCTAGCATGTGCCTGAATGAAAAAAAAAAAGCAGAAATTTCAGGATCTCTAACACAGAACTTCGGTCAATAAACTAAAATAAACAGACCTCTCGTTGTTGATGAGCATAAGTTGTTAAATTGGCCTCTTGCTTGTGGAGACTACTTTGAAGATCATTTAGTAACGAATCAGCTTCTAAGGCGATTCCTTTAAAAAGCTGAAGCACATAAATTAAGTTAAACAGGCCAAAAATCTGAAGTAGAATCAACCAAGTAGAAACGACTTTAAGGGTAATAGACCACTTACATCCTCCAAGGCAGATGAATGCTTGGCTACTTCAGATTTCAAGTCATCATAAGTTATCTGGTTATTTACTTTAAGCTCCTCAGCTAAATTATCCAGAGCTTTGATACCAGAACCATACATGTTTTTCAACTTTCCTACCCGTTCTCTAAGATCTTCAGTAGCCTTCAGAATCATACCAAAATGAGGTTCATAAATCTTCAAATTAAGTATAATAAATAAATACAATTGCATACTTTGTTAACCCACCTCTGCTTTTGTTGATACAAAAGACTGCATATCTTCCTCCATGTCCTTCAATTGCTGCTCTTGATGCATTACCGAAGCCGAAACTGTCTTGTGCAGAACTTCAAGTTGTTGAGCTAACTGAGACTGGAATTTCTGGATAAGTATTCTATTACCTTCTTCAATTTTATCCTTCCGCTCTAAGGTTGGAAAAGGCAATTTATGGGAAATTTCATCCCTGATGTCAGAGTCATGTGCTTCCTCCTCCAATTTAGAAAATCATTAGAGAATGATACTTACCAATTTTGGAAAAGAGGTTTGACACATCTGATGCAGCATTCTCAAGCTCTGCTCGTAGTTCAATTGCACGCTCCACAAGTGATTTCTCTGGAAAAGCAAAAATTGTTGACAACAAAAGATCAGAAGTATACTCTTACCGAAGCCATGATACGAGTATTATTTGAACCAACCCAGAAAATGTATTAAATAGGGAACACACCAATGGCACAATTACACATGACTAACCAGATTTTAGTAGATTTGATATCAAAAATTCCTTTTCCTTAATTGTAGCATTAGCTTGTTTGTGCCTTTCCTCAAGATCAAACAATGACTGCTCAGTTTCTTCTAGACTTTTCTGAAAATACAGATATCAGATGTAAGTTTAATTCTTGAACAGATCAAAAGTCCATGACAAAAGAATGAAGCAGTTATGAACGGTCACTTTTACCTCAGTTTTTTCAAGTTTATCACTTAATTCAGCACTCAAAAATTGCTGAGAATTGTAGAGTTCTTGAAGCTCCATCAGTTGCTACACACATGTGGCGAGTTCTTGTTTCAGTAGCTAAGCAATCATGATAAATATGGAAGTAATTAATAACGATATATACCTTATCCTTAGACTCTGCTTCTTGTTCCATGCGTTCTATCTTTTCAGTCATGGCCTAGAGAACATGGTTAAAATTTAAGATTAGGAATGTTGCCAAAATTTTAACAGTATTTCTAATTTATATTTAAACACTTATAAGGAAACCTTCTTCTCTGCTTCTTCGGTAAGGTAGCGATCACGTGGTATATAGATTCCATTCTTCTCTCTTGCTGCATATACCTCTGTGAAACATAAATAAAAAGTACTATATTTCAGCCTGAACTGTCAAAGAGATAAAGAAGGAGAAAATACGGGCACAAAATATTTCAGTATTTTCTCTCTACTTAAGGGAAAAAGAACAACAAGGAGAAAACATAGGGGCAGAAACTACATTAATATGGGAACAGT